GCAATGTGGGGAGAGGCTCGGAGGAGAGCTGTGGTTGCAGGAACATTTCTGGCGCGACCTGAGCGGTCACAAACGCCTTGGCACCAACGTGGGGATCTTCGTGCTGCTTTGACTATGCGACGAACGCAACTTCCCGTCTCCGAACAAACTCACCACCACCACAACAACTGCCGCCCCGCCTACCTCCTCTCCGCTTGCACCTTCCTTCCGCTGCACCCTGGTAATAAGTCAGTTGATGCGCGCAATATAATCCACGCCCCGCCGCCTTGCTCCGAGCAGTATCCGCATCCGTCCCCCCACTACCACGCCCAATTCCCTCACCATGGCTGCCAACGGACAGCAGGTCTTCGACCCCGTGCTGGCGGCGCACAACACCATGTCGTCGCAGGCGGATCGCGCGCAGAAAGAGCAGGCACATCAGTTTCTGGAGCAGTTCCAGAAGTCGGTACGTAGCATGGGTACGCGTTCACGAGCATGAGGGGCTGATATGTGACAGGAAGAGGCATGGACAACCACACTGGCTATGCTAGAGGCAAACTCAGCAGATGCCGCTGCCAAGCTTTTTGCTGCTACCACACTCAAGGGAAAGGTGAGTCGTCACTACTCCGTACTCGAGCTGTTCTAACATGTCAGATCGTATACGACCTCCACCAAGTGCCTCGCGCACAGCTGCCAGAGCTCCGAGCATCCATCATGCGGAATCTGGCGACATTCCACGCCGGACCCAAGCCCATACGTCTGCAGCTATGCGTGTGCCTGGCGAATCTGGCCATACAGATGACCGAGTGGAAGGATGTCCTCAAAGACGTTGTCAACGCCCTCGGCTCAGATCCAGCAACGCTCCCTTGCGTCTTGGACTTCCTCCGCGTTCTCCCCGAAGAAGTCACGCATGGACGCAAGATCGCTCTCACAGTACGTCCGAACGAGCCGCGCCCCGTCATCAGCCCACGGCAACTATTCCCCGCGGCGTCGACATATGATAGTAGAGTTGTAGTCTAATATGTGGTGGTCAGGAACACGAGTTGACTATGAGGACGGCCGAGTTGATCGACGACAACGCCCAACAAGCCCTGGAGCTTCTCATACGATATGGCACATCTTCCCGTACGTCTACAGCCTTTCTTTCAATCCACTTTCACTGACTTTGAACAGCCGCTGCCGCGCAAAACCCACAGTTACTAAACTGTATTACTTCCTGGATACGCGAGATACCACTAGATGCCATCATAAACTCTCCCCTTCTCAAGATCATCGTCGAGGATTTGTCCCTGGATGATCCATTTGAGGCCGCTGTTGAGTGTTTGAGCGCCCTGATCGCGGAGACCAGAGATGTCGACGAGACCCTCCAGTCGATAATGGTGCTCTACCCGCAGGTCATCAACCTCCAAACCAAGCTCGCAGAGGCAGCTCAAGAGGAGGATACAGAAAAGTTCAAGGGCATCGCCAGGATATTCGCCGAAGCTGGAGAATCATGGGTCATTCTTATCGCTCGCCTGCCGACTGACTTCCGCGCCCTGGTACAAGCCATACTTGCGACAGCTGCATTGGACAAGGAGAGGGATGCCATATCTCACACGTTCAAGTTCTGGTATGATCTTAAGCAGTATCTCACCATCGACAAATATGCCGAAGCGCGCAACCAGTGCATGGATATCTACTCTAAGCTGGTAGACATCATGATTGGTCACCTGGAGTTCCCCAAGCCGGAGTCTGGCGACGAGAAGGATCTGTTCGAGGGCGATCGCGACCAGGAAGAAAAGTTCCGCGAGTTCCGTCATCAGATGGGCGATGTGCTGAAGGACTGCTGCGAGGTCATGGGCGTCGTCGAGTGTCTTCAAAAGCCCTACGACCTCATGCAACAATGGGTGCAAACATATGGCGCTCAGGCCAGTGCAAACAGCGTGCCCGAGTGGCAGAAGCTGGAAGCGCCTTTGTTCGCTGTTAGGGCTATGGGTCGCATGGTACCTCCGGACGAGAACATAATGCTACCTCGCTTGATCCCCCTCATCGCAGGTATACCCGACCACCACAAGCTACGCTTCCAGGCTGTCATGGCTCTGGGAAGATACACCGAGTGGACTGCACAGCACCCCGATACGCTTCAGTTACAACTGGATTACATCATGGCAGCCTTCGATCATTCTGCCAAGGACGTAATCCGAGCCGCTGCGCTATCATTCAAATTCTTCTGCAACGACTGCGCGAGCCTGCTGGTCAACTTTGTTGGCCCTCTTCAACAATTCTATGCGAAGAACCTCAACAAATTGCCGATCAGCAGTCAGGAAGAGATTACAGAAGGTGTCGCGTCAGTAGTCGCTAGGGTACCCAACGATCAGCTTCTAGCAACACTCAAGCTCTACCTCGACCCGGTCATGGCTCACCTCATCGAAGTTGCGCGTCAAGCAAAGGATGAGGCGGATCAAAAGCTAATCGCCGACAAGATCAATCTCTTGACCATCTTCTTCGAGATGGTCAGGCCAGAGATTCCAGCCGGTCAAGAACATCCCGCTGTCAAGTACTGCCAAGAGATATTCCCTACTCTCGCTAACATGATCACGCACTTCAACGCAAGCATACCTATCCTCGAACGTGTCTGTCGATGCTGGCGGTACATGGTGCTCTCCTACCGTACAGCCATGCGTCCACTCCTACCAGATCTCGCGACTAAGTTGATTGAGGGCTTCGACAAGTCAAGGCAGGGTTGCTTCCTATGGGCGACGGCGTCGATAGTGCGAGAGTTTTCGCAGGGTGTAGACGATGTCGACCCAAGTCTAGCAAACGACGTCTACCAGTTCTACGAGCAGCAAGCGAAGACCTTCCTACGGATACTGAGCGACCTGCCCCCAGAGGAGCTTCCTGACCTCATCGAGGACTACTTCCGCCTTGCTGCCGACATGGCACTCTACTTTCCCTCAGAATCGATCATGTCGCCACTCATGGACACTGTTCTCCTTGCAGCCTGCAGTTCCCTGACACTGCTCAAGGAGGATCCCATCATCGCAGTGCTGCACTTCCTACGCGACTTGCTTGGATACGGTCGCAACTCGTCGCCCTCATCTAGCTTCGACAACACGCGTCACGAAGTGCCCGAGCAACTGCGGAACCGCGTCAAGCAACTTGTCATGGGTGCTGGCGTTCAACTAGTCCAGCGCATCATGACTGGCATGATGTACAGCTTCCCTGAGGGCTGCTTCGCGGACTCTTCTGGCGTGCTCCTCGACCTGTTCGAGCTTATGCCTGAGCAGGTCGCTCAGTGGGTAGCTAGTACCGTTGGCATGTTACCCCAAGGCAGTATCACACCTCAAGAGAGCGAGCGATTCCTAAATAACATTCGACAACGTATCCAAACTGGCGATGTCAGGATGATAAGGACTATCCTACAAGACTTCACCACTAGTTACCGACGCCGGAACGTTGCGCCCCGCGAAGGCCTCGGTAGACTGGAAGCTTCGCGGTTCAGGTTCTCCGGTTAGATGCTGGATGCCGAAGCACGAATTCTGTTCCAGAACGTGGACGCGCGGAAGCCTACAGAGCCACTCACACGTTCTGCGCTTCTTCTCCACACGGTTCAGTCTAACGCCTCCCGGTTTCAGTAACATAGTGGTGGTGTGTTTGGGTGCGTGGTGTAGTGTGTATCGAATAGCATAATTGTACTTGAAGCGTTAGTGTGTGGGCATTTGCATGGAAGATCGGGACACGGAAGGACAGGATACCATCGGTGGAACAGAGTGGGGGTTATTGTTCAGATCTGCTTAGATACCGTTTACTTCTATACTTCACATCGTTTCGTCATCGCCGGTTGGCTACTCTTGGCCATATGACGTGATTTCAGTAGTTTGACGTTCACTCCTGCACTTCGAGTGACGTCGGGCAGCGCTCCTTCTTGGCTACCAATGAGTGTGCAAGACGTCGATCGGGTGGCAGCGACGACATATCATGGCCCAAACAAACAACAACTTCGCCATACCAGCTTCCGCGTCACTCACAATTTGGTCTATTGCTGAGCGCTTACCAATACCTAGGCACAGCCTTTCGGCTATCGAACAGCATCCTCTCTGAGCACCTATCACCTCAGTGTCCATCTCATCCTTTGGCCCACCGCCAGCAACACTACCTTGAACACCTGTTACCACCCGGCACACGCTAGCTCGACCTTCTCCGCTTCTCCCATATACCGTTACAGATCTGTATCTTCATCTGAAGTTCGTCGGCACCGAAGGTGACCACTCCACGTTAGGTGCGCGCCAAGTTTCATGGTGAAGGTCGTGAGATGAGAGTTGACAGCAGACTTCAGCAGGGCCGATTCGCGAACGTAACAACGTTCCCATTTACCTGCGGTACCTGCGCACCTCCAGCCTGGTATTGGCAAGAACAATATCGGCAGAGCCTAAAGCTCGCAACCATACAAGAAACGACCATCCTGGATCCCCCATACGGGCGACCCGGCCTAGCGAGAGCTAACTCCACAGGATCCGGCACTAGACCCATCTCGATCAGATCAAGCACGTCGAGCGCATCACAAACTTCTACCCAAACTTCAAGCCGGTCAAGGAGACACTCGCAGCCAGCTCTTCCTCCAACCCTTGCGGAGAGAATTGCACTAGGACCTCAGCTTAACCCATATCATAGCAAGAACCCTCATCGTCTAGACCGATATACCAGCGTTCGGGACGTCTATCTTGCTAGACAGGAGCAGCGCACGAAAGAAGCCGCACACCAGGAAGAGAGACTCCATCAACTTCGGCTCGAAAAGCGCAGGGGTACCCGCCAATTCGACGGTTCAAGATCAGCTGGAACTTCACCAGCCCTGAGTCGAACAAACTCGAATTCAGATCTCACTCGAACATCTTCCCTCAAGAACCTTGCCAGAGAACTGACGACATTCGACAAGTTCGGACCTATCAGGCGCGCAGACACGGGTGACTCTACCGCATCTTCATCGGGACAGTCGAACAAATCCAAGAAGTCGAACCTCTCTCGGGTATTGACGGCTGACCGCTATGATCGAGACGCTCAAAGAAATGAAGCACGGCAAGAGCGGCAGTTACGAGAGCCTGGCGCTGGAACGAACGGCGAGTCAGATTCTCCATCGCATGGAGGACAAAGACTCGGAGGACTCTCTGGAAAGCACACGGACAAGAGTACTCGGTCTGTATCTTTCGCGGTTTCTTGCGATAGAAACAGATTGACTGACCTGTTATAGCGAACGCGCGCGCGATATATGGACCGAATCGTTGTCTAGACGTGATAAGTTTCGCTCCGACTTCCTCAAGAAAAATTGGAGCTTGCATCGTCGAGCACAATCCTTCGAGTAGATCCTACGTACACTGCTGCTCTGCGAAAGAGGACTCAAGGCTCGGTGCCATGGAACACTTGCTCGTCATCACCGAAGATCTGCTCCAGCGACTTATGGACGCCGAGGGCATCACGAGTAGTGGATGGTTGCCCGCCACGCCACAGTCACATCATGCAGCAATGTATGGGAGTGCGCCGGGAAGTGTAGCGGGTGGAGGTAGTGTGGCAAGCAGTGTGCAGCCGAGTCGAAGGGGCAGTGCTCAACCACAGGAGTAAGATCACCCTTCCTACGATCTCCGACCCTTGTATACTCACAAAACATAGCCTCCTCATCGACTGCGCGCAAGGCTCACCACAGTTAATGCAACAATCACCTCAGTTCTCACCGCCCGCCCAGTCGATACCTGCCCAAACCCCCTTCGTCAACGACTTCAACACGCCCTGGTCGCCTCACCACATCCAAAAGCCCAAGCTCCCTAGAGGCAGCAGTGACACGGTCTTTCACACCACGGCCAACACTCCCAAGCCAGTCGTCCAAACGATCCCTAGGACTAACAGCGATATTATTCAGCAGCCTAAGCCGGTGCCAATCGGCCAGTTTCAGGGTCCTGGAAGAGGCAGGGTGCAATGGAATCTGGGCTCTGAAGGATAGAAGAGTCGGGTCTTGAGTCATCGGCTGGTCGGGGTCAGAGAGATGATGTGATGGATGCTGCATTTCTTCGAACTGGGGGAGGATGGTTGGTCTTGTTGGTTAGAGTTATTCTTATTACGCGAATGCTAGTGTTTTGAACTCCGCGTAATGGTGCACTGATGATGGGCGATGTGTGAATCCGAGTTCAAAGCGAGCACTCTATCATTGATATTCATGAGAAGCAGCTTCGTTTGCATTCACAAACGATAGCTGTCGTCCAGCACGGAGAGACCCATATCTACAGATATCATAGCCCGTGAAACCACCCCCGAACGCCAAATTGCAATGATCATATCGCCATCACAAATGTCCTTCCCGTGCACTTAAGCCTTCTTAGCGAACTCCACGCGGAGAATAAGATGTCCGAAACCGACTGATCACAAAAGTTAGCAACAACACCCAAAACCACAGGCTTATCCAAAAACTTACATCCATCCATCTTCTCACACGCCTTCGCGGCATCCGACCGATCCGCATAACTAACAAACGCAAAGCCCTTGGCGCGACCCGTCTCCCTGTCCTTGGCAAGGAAAACACGAGTAACGTGTCCGTACTTGGAGAACATGTCGCGCAGATCTTGCTCTTCGGCGAACTCAGACACGTTGGTAACGCGCAGAGTAGCGCTATCGTCGCGGTCGAATTTGCCGCCCATCTTCTCGCCTGCGCCAGCACGGCCACGCAGATGAGGAGGAACGTAGCCGCCAGAGCCGGTGCCCAGACTACCTCCTGCACCGCCGGGCGCATCGTCTGGCATTTCCGCGGGGGCGACATCGCCTTCGGGGGCCATGGTGTCCTTGAAGGGACATTTTGTGGTGAAATGGTCGCCCTGGCAAATACGGCACTTGATCTTCGCGTTCTTGAGCTCTGCCTTCTTCTTCGCTTCGTCGCCCTTATCTTCGTTGCTGGCTTTCCAGTTGGAGACGGGGCGGAAGGCGATGTTTTCGGCGACGGAGACGGTGTCTGTTTGTGGGCCGGCGGGCTTGCCCTTTTCTTGTCCGAATTTCGCCCATTGCTTTCGTTCGGCGACGCGGGGGTTTACGATTTGCTTTACGACGGTCTTCTTGATGCGCCGTGTTGTCTTGTATTTCTTGCCGTCTTCGCCGATGCGGTAGGAGATTACGGTTTCGGTTCCGTCTTTGTTCTTGATGACTTGTTGGGGTGGGAGGGAGGTGAGAGAGTCGTTCTCATCTTCTTCTTCTGCCCAGTCGGTGCGGCTGTAGTGGTATTGTCAGCTTGACGCTCTTTAGCCCAGAGAGGTGTGTGTAGAAGCTCGCGGCTTGGTGTGCAGTATGGGAGCGATATAGGAAGGCTGTAGGCGTGGGAATCCGGAGAAAAGGTGCGCATAAACTCACCCTGCTGTTTTGGACATATTTGCGGTTGTGGTTGTGTTGTTGGGGGTGTCGGGTCGGTAGGTAGTCGGGGTCCCTTATGATACAGAATGTGAGAAGTGGCGGCGGCCGGTGGGGCAATTCAATGTGTGCGGTGCGCCGCCAAGATTTCGCGCTAATAGGTGTTGCGACTCATCACTCCCTTTCACCAACTTTCATCCAAACATGGTACGCTCGAAAAGCTCCGTTGAATCCTCGAACAGACAGTCACTTTCTTGTCGATTACACGGAGGGCTGTGCCTCTTGTAGGCTGGTGAGTTATTGTCAAGTGATTTGCGCAGCTTCATGTCTACCTAGGTATGGCGACATCAGGAGTCAGTCATGAACTGAGTCACTGTTCATGCTTAGGCATAGTATGCTAGAATCAATCACAGTCAGTGATATTACTTTAGTAGCTCTAGTTTTCAGTTCCCGATACGCTCGTGAGTCACAGCAGTAGCTTGGGCAAGTTGCATTAGTAGAACCATACTCAAGCAAAGAGCATGTGAATTCGATGTCTTTGTGGCTTTGACCCCATCGCATACAGCGTTCTACTCAGGTAGCTATAGGTTTGATCTACTTGGCTAGAGGTAGTAGTAGGATGTCTCTACTAACTGTTGTAAGCATGCGTAACTTTGCATTCATACTATTAAGCGGTAACGATACTAGGGCGATATGACTGAGGAAGTGTGTGCGAATGAGAGTGCGCTGGGCGATTGTTACACCATCCTGATTGCTGTCCAGCGTATAGCAAGCCTCGACGGCCCAGCGCTACCTCTATAGAAGTCTGGAACGCTGAACGCATCACCAACTACTTAAGTATAATGTCCACTAAACACAACATCATGAACGAAGCAGAACAAGCTGAAACCTTTCCTTTTGAACGTCTACCACTGGAACTACAGAGACGCGTCCTCAGCTACGTACTTCCTCAATCCCAGAGCATAAAGTTCAGATGGGGCCCATATCCCGAAGAACCCAACTACAGACCGAAATGGATCATCGAGACGCGACCAATAGGCGCCGTACTTCCTTGGGAGAACCATCATGAAAGGGAAACAAACGGTAACCAGCACATCAGCAACAGGCTATCCGACTATGCCGCTTTGATACGCGTGAAGACGTTGGCACAGGAAGCGAAAGGTAAGCTACAAATCCCTGGATTGAGGCCCCAGAGTCAGAATATGAACTCTCCCCCTCCCTCCCTCCGACCTACTCCCCACAACCCAGCCCTTCACCCTCTAACAGCAACCCCACAAGCCCTCTTCCTCCACACCAACGAAATCACCCTCGTCATCACCTCTTCACAATACACCTCCGAACTGCACTTCGGTCCTTTCAAAATGCATCCCCGCCGCCTCAACGTACACACAATGCGTGATATAGAAAACCTCCGCATCATCCTGAACATCCGTTCGGGGGATAGCACGGCTGCGCCGTGTAACCGGCTACGGACGCGCTTACAGCAGATCATCACGCAACTTACTCTTCACGCCGAGGACAAAGATCAAAAGTCTCTGTTGAGGAAGCTCGAGATCAGTGTGGCGGTTGATACTCTTGATCTTGTGGATGTGAAGGAAGTCGGGATGGAAGATGTGGATGACGGACCTCTTGGGTATCTGGGTGCGATGGACATGGCTGGGTTCATGAAGCGAGCTCCCGAAACGAATCCTTATGTACCGCATTTTATGTTCGCGCTTGAACCACTCATGGAACTTTTCCCTAGGCTGATAGTTGAGAGTGTGAGGGTGAGAGGTGCGCCTAGCTGGTTTGCTAGGTGTCTTGAACTTTGTGTAAGGGGTCAGGGTGGTGAGTTAGTAGAGTTGGACTGGGGGTGTGATATTGTGATGAGGCAGGTTGGTGTGGGTGTTGCGAGGAAACGCCGGGTTAGTGTTACGAGGAAGATGTGGATGCAGCCGGTCTATGACTGGAGGCGGTACGCTGAGGAGAATGGAATCGAGGTTGAAGACTGAGGTAGGTAGACTTTAGAATGTAGGAGATCTGCAAAGCATGCTGATTATGCTTGATTGAACATGTCATTAACTTATCTCCATTCCATCACTTTCATCTCTACATACACATATACACGTACACAGCACAACAGCCCAGATCGCCCGACAAGAGGGTCGTCGGGCCGCTGTTCCAAATCCAACCCAGAGCCAACACCTTAGACCTTTTTCTAAGAGACCCTCGTAAAAAAGGATCTTTATCCTACCGTATCATGAACGCCAGCTTTATTGTACAAGGTGGGCAGGGCCCGCAGAGTGGTGAGGAGGAGGGTCATGCGCTAAGATCGACTTCGTGTAAATGCGGGACAAACGTCGAACTGCAGTATAGAAGGTGAGAAGAAGATTGCTGCGCCTGGTTTCGCGATTGGGGGCTCGTCAGGGTAGCGGTAGAATGGTATGTATTTGCTGTGCGCAATTCCTTTTATCTTTGCTTTAGTCGACTTGTTTTAGGTCGGGCTCGAAGAAGACTTTTCGTGTTATCTGGTGGGCTGTTAGCTTTCGTCGTGAAAATACCAGGAATCGATTGAACGTACCGCCCATCCTCCCGCTACAGTCGCGCAGATACCCGAGCTAATAGCCATCTGCCTCGTCCCTCTTGTGCTCTTGAACAGCGCGCCGCTCAATGCGCCCGCCACCACGCTGTTGCTCATATCGTGCTTGCCGCGGTAGTACCCAATCGTGCTGTTCATACCATTATACACCATAGCAATCACACCCGCGCTGTTTCCCAGAAAAGGACCTCGCCGTGTTATCGCATTGAGCACGCCGTTGATGCGCAACCGCGGGGGCATGCTGGGTGGGTTCTTTTGCAGGCCCTCGGCTAGACCCCACGCTCCTCCTATCGTCAGCGCCGTCAGATACGACACGCCCGTGCCGTAACATAAGTCGTCGGACCAGCCGCGTGAGGGCAGAGCGGATTGTGCGCCGGGCAGGTCCGAGAGGACGCTGTCTTCGAGGTTTAGGTAGTCGAGTGTGTCTTGGTTGAGGCCGGCGAGGGGATGCAGTTGTGAGGGGTCGAGCAGGAATTCTGAGGGGTTTTGGATGGCCGTGTTGGGGTCGAAGGGCGTGGGTTGGAAGGTGTCTTCTTTTACGAAGTCGGCATTTTGGGGCGAGGCGGGCGCGGGTGCCGTGTCCTTGGACTTGCGTCCGGTTATGGAGTCCCAGCTAGCACTGGATTAGCATTGATGTGACTGAGAAGACGCAGGATATCAGAGTTTATACATACATGGTCATGTTGAAGAAGTCAGGTTGTGATGGCGGCGTAAAGAAATGTTGCGCCTGATTGTCCACAGCCGCACGAACAAAATCCCCCAGACGCCCGAAAAACCTCTATCAGACCGACGCAGCTAGGAGAAACAGCAGAAAAGAGGCAGGTGGTAGATGCGCGGGTATTGGATAGCGTGGGGCGGCGTTCGTGATGCTCACGAAAAGTTCTGGCGAAGCAACTTGGGCAATGACGGTCTCTGTGCACGGCCCACCTTCTCGAAGCCTCCCTGCTTCCGAGCTCGGAAAGGAACGAGATCGGAAAGAAAAGTTCAGACAGCCTCACCCACTTCGGGATAACGACAGACAACAACGATTCCAACCATGGCGCTCCCCGAATACAAGCAAAACTTCCTCAAAGACTGCGTCTCAGCCGGCGCATTGAAATTCGGCACCTTCACCCTCAAGTCCAAGCGCATATCTCCCTACTTCTTCAATGCGGGCCTCTTCCACCGCGCCGACCTGCTCCGCTCCATCTCCTCAGCCTACGCACACACACTGAAGAACCACGGCGATTCTGACCCCTCATTCCAATGGGACATTCTCTTCGGCCCAGCCTACAAGGGCATTCCCCTCGCAGCAGCCTCAGTCGACAAGCTCGCAGATCTGGACATGGCCAAGTACGGACAGAAGAGCTACAGTTTCAACCGCAAGGAAGCAAAAGATCATGGTGAGGGCGGCAACATCGTGGGCGCGAGTTTGAAGGGCAAGAAGATTGTTATTGTGGATGATGTCATTACGGCTGGTACGGCGATTAGAGAGGCTATTGATATTATTAAGAGGGAGGGGGGTGAGCTTGTGGGCATCATCGTTGCTTTCGATAGGCGGGAGAAGATGCCTACGGCGACTGATGACGATGGAAAGCCGGGTCCCAGTGCGATTGGCGAGGTTAGGAAACAGTATGGAATTCCTGTGCTCGCTATCTTGACGCTGGATGATGTTGTGGAGTATCTGAGGAGTCTGGGTGGGGAGGAGGATCTCAAGAGGTTGGATGAGTATCGGGAGAAGTACAAGGCGAGTGATTAGGCGTATCTGGTGGGGCGTTTACGAAGTTATGATTATGGGAGTATGGGTGATAGGGAAGGGCGGCTGCTAGAATACCCCGCATGCGTTGCGGTCAATGCTGCAAGCATTTCAAGTCCACATGTTCTTCTTGACTCCGTGAGACTGTGAGGCGATCCTCATAACAATAAACGGCTGTGTCATTGGGGTAAGATGCTACATCAAAGAAAACACGCTGATTATTGTTATACTTCTATGGTATATATACAGAATTATGTACGCGTTCAACAAAAGGGGGGTATCCTCTATCATCGCTCCTGGCCAAACGAACAAGATGCATAGTCACCTCCATGCATATCTGAATCCAATTCGAGAGATCTGACGGGCAAGAATCGTCTGAATCCGAACCGTCTGAATCAGAAGAGCACTCCATAACAAGATCAAGCTGGACAGCTGGCCTGACTCCGACGTACCTGCTCCGCAAAACTCATCTCTTTGATGGCCTATTATCTTTCTTATGTTTTGCGTCCCGAGAATTGACTCCGCTAGCTTCCTCTAACTGTATTCATCGTCGCTGGAACCGGTTCCGCTGGGATCGAAAACAACGGGCTTGTCTTTGTCGTCTTCGTCCGAGCTGATGCCGTTTGCACTTGAATGGCTTCGACAGGATGTTTGATAGATTAATCTGTAGTAGAGACTGCGGCAGTAGAGACATGTTCGCCAGCATCGTCCGCGTTGACATCGTCTTCGCTAGCGTCGTCTGCGCTTGAGTCCTCTTCGCTGGGGTCGTCTTCGCCAGCATCGTCTTGACTAGCATCATCTTCGCTATCGTCTTCGCTATCATCTTCGCTATCGCTATATTCTGATGAATCAGGATAGAAGCCGGGCGGAGTGTTGAGCGCAGGATGAGCATAATTCTTGGGGTCATAATCTGGCTCATTCTCGATAAGGTAATGGCGTTCCGAAAATGCGATCCACGGATCCTAGATACCGGTTAAAGCATTAGCTACCGACTTGCGTTTTCAAGGGTTGATCGCATGGTTCGAGGACCCATTTATAGGTCATCATCGGGAGGTCAAATGAGCACCTACCTCGTGATATTCCTTGAGGATATAGTCATCCAGACTGTCCAGATATTCTCTCGCATCTTGCCTCCACTGTTCACTTCCACTCGTATCTCTGAGCACCTCGGTGAGGTCAAACTCTATGTCGTCGTACCTGTTAAACGGATGCCCCCATTTGAAACGCAAATGCCCTCCTTCGCGTTCATATGCCTGGAGAACAGGTCTCAGGAGTTCGATCCACGGGACCCACAAGTTTAACCTGACCTCCTGTTGAACCAATTCGATATGGAGACTGAAATTCCTCTTCTTCCTGATACTCATCAGGGTCTTGACAAGCGTCTCGCCTTCTGCATCGATGTCTGTATTGGATTCCCAAAGACAAACATACAGTGACTGCAAAACATCTGCGGGAATAAGTCCAACATCCCAAATATCTTGACAGACGACTCGTTCCGTTGATGCTATGGTGATATATTCAACTGGACCAAAGCCATCAATGTCGGGATAGCTGCCAGAATCGCTACGGTCGGGTTGTACCTCGTACCACTTCACCATAACTTCGTGGGCTATTTTCAAACCCATGAAGCGGCTTTGAATGAAGTGCGGTAACTCTGGTACGTCGCTGCGGCAAGACTCAGGGTTGAGACGGTATTGCATCGACTCTTCATGATACTTGAATGCTTTGTTATCCCAAATATAGTCGAAGATCATCGCTCTCAGTTCGGTCGGTAGACGGGTCTCTATCTCACGAGCGAATTGGAGATTCCATAATTCGCTGTATTTCGTGACAGCGGCCGGCCATTCTCTAAAGCAAACTTAGTGATTAGTCTACGCAGTTTTTGTTTCGTACAAGGAGAGAAACTCACTCTCTGAGGATTTTCGTTTGCTGTTTGGCGGTACGCCTCTTTGGGGCCTCGAGTTTGCTGCGAATGCTGTACGTATGTCAGTCTCTGCGGTTTCCTTTACGTAGGTGGTCTTACTCCACGAGGGTCTGGTACGCGGCCTGGACATCGTCCTGCTGGACCGGCGGGGAATTGGCAGAATGAATAGGGGCCGCCTTTGGCTTAGACTTCGGTTTGGTCCTTCGGGCCATAGCTGGCAAACAAAGAAATGGTAATCGAAGTGTTCACGTCTCTATGCGTGCTGTGCAAACCCGCGGGAGTGTTTAGGTGTAAAGTGCGAGTGTCACAAAGTTGGCGAGGGGATGCACGACGCGTCGCTAGCGCGTCTCAAAACGATTAAACACGCGTGTCCCTTACTTCCCCATGCCAAGCAACCCGCTTGCCGCGTACCGATTGCAGACTTCAACCGGCAGCTACGTGCAGACATTCTTTGCCCATACACCGATACTACTCGACGCCCAAGGCGCAAACGCTAGCAACAGAGACCAGCCTAGCGAAGATATGAGAGCAGCGGCGCTTGCGGGCCGCAGACCATTCTCCGTCGGCGGCACAGTGCAGATGTGGGGCGGCATGCGCTGGAAACCCTACTCAGGTAAGGCAAGGCAGACACCTGCAATAGAGATCAGCAAATCGGAGGCAATACACTGTGGAGCAGTGACGCTGTTGCATTGGGATGAGAAGGATCTTCAAAGTTTGGAGACTTCTTTTAGGCATCCAAATTGTGACAAGAAGGCGAGGTTCAAAGGCATGCCCAAGAGCGCTTTCCTATCTCCATTATCCTTCATTCTGTACTCTACTCATTCAGTGAACGAAACAAACACAACCGCGATCTCGACATGCATCACCTCCGTGATGCTCTACTGAGCCCCTCTCCAGAGGGCCCTCCCGAACTCAACCACCTAGACAATGTGGCTCATGACGTCCTAATGGTTCGCGAAGACGTGGCGCGTGGGGAACTCGACGGACTCCGCGGAACAGCCTTCTATAATCGAACCGGGATTGTCAGTGAGCGATACTGCAGCCTAGGAGATGGTATAGACTCTCTTGTGCACCACATCCACTCTGCGTGGCACATGTATTACCAAGTTGCTGTGCACACGGCGTATGATACGCGCGAACAGGACCGCTTGGTCCTCGACATCGTGCGAATCCAGGGATTGGGGCCGTTGACCAGGCCCGCTACTGGGCACTACGGTATCGACATCGCGCGAACAGTAGATGGAACGGTGTGGAACGGTCAGTAATATCCCCGTACGAACTGTATGTGAGATAAACACTGACGTTGTACACCAATCTTTAGATCTACCCTTTCTAGCCACTGACATGACCGCATTCTGGATCGAGAACTGCGCGGCTTTGAAGAACGCCCAGCGACTTAACCTCGCATCCTTTCTAGCTAAGCTGGCGTCGACTCGCGTTAGCAAGGATCGAATCTGCCAAATCGCTCTTCTACTGTTCTGCTCTACCTTTGAGGGAAGAAGCAGTATCGACGGAGGTCAACCAGACGAACTTTCCACACACCAGACGATCTCGACTCTCGATCTGACGCAGCTCATGCCGTCTGTGTGTGCGTGGATCAAAGAGGCTGGTCACGTTCTTGTCCAACTCTCTGAACTCTCATGGAATGACTGTCCTAGCCATATCGGGCAGGGTGGGCAACACTTCCTTGAATCTGAATTCGGGAAGCGGTCACCGACTGGTTTCACCCCGTGGAGATGGATGTATTGGCTCAAACGTCTTCATGAAATTCGTCAAGAGGCGAAAGAGGCAAATGAGAAGACTCTCGAGGAGCAGACTACGGAGGCTATTGACCGCATGGTCAGCCAAGTACACGATCGTAATTCAGGGATTTTCAGGGCGTATCAAGATGGCGGGGACTTCTTGAAGCTGGACGATCATCTGGCGTGTTTGAGGGGTAGATAGATCGAATGCAGGCTATACAGTTATGACAAACAATTCTGTACACGTCCGTGCTAATGTGGGAGTAGTACAGTTGAAAAGAAGCCGGAAACCCAATATGCGCCTAAATAGCCCCACGCGCATGGATAACACGGAGGATAGGTAGGGGACGGTCCGCGTAACCCACATCGGGCCAAAAGTGCTACATGAAGGCGCATGTTGCGCGGCAATCTCGTGCTAAGCACCTAACATATGGCGCGGCAATCTTGCCCGGGTGTGCTAGACACATGCAGTGTGGTAGGTAACTTTGTGCTAGGCGCGGCGCAGCAACCTTATACTAGGAAGGCATAGGCAACACCGCAACCTTTATTTAGGGCCATGCGGCGTGGTAACTTTGTTTGAAGTGCATGCGGCGTAGTGACCTTGTACTGGATACATGCGGCATCGCAGCCTTGACGATTACGATGATCCCTCGAGACAGTGAACGATCTCTGGCCTCTGGCTGGAACGCCACTGGAGAGCTTGTGCTCACTTTTAGAATCCTTCAGATAGAATATACTACATCAATTGTTTTGCTGTTCCCTCTCCGTCGTCCGCTAAAGGTATGAAAAGACGACGTCAGCTGCCTAGACATCACCTGGGCAAGCAGAAACGGATATGTATCATGGCAAGCAAAATTGGAAAACGAATGTATTGTAGTAAGTTACGAGTATAGAAGGGGTGCTGCCTTCAAAAAGAGCGTCCTTTCTCATGCCTCCCGAGCTCCACTGAAAGCCATAGCCTGTCAAGTATTGCGAATCGCTCACTGGGGACTACCACCAACCATGCGCTTTCTATCTGCATTCCAAGACCCCGTCATCGGAAGACTCCCGGCAAACTGCAATTCCATATCAATGTCCATTTCAACACATGTCGCGTAGAAAAACACTTACTTCTCGTAAGAATATAGCCCTCTCGATAGAACTTGCACGAATCGCCAAGCCTGTGCCTGCAATTGTTGGGGCAGTTGCATGCACTGATGGCATCGGGGGCAATGCGGACGTCTCTAGTCTCGTTGAGAACCGCCTTCACTTCGCTGTTGGTTGTTGCTGGAGGGGCAGCCATAGCCTGTGCGGCGAAGAGGGCCACAGCGGTGGTAGCAAGGAGAGTCTTGAAGAACATTTCTGGGTTTGACTGATGATGGAACTGAGTTCAGATTTTGCTATTGGTGGTAGATGGTTGGAATGGTGATGTTTGCGGTGGGGAACTGTGAAAGAGACATGCGTCTCATTATATGCTTTCAAATTCCAAATACCAACTGCTCTTCCAACACCTGAGAAGGGTTCGGCTGTAGGCTCTCAGGCCAGTAGATGTGTGCCGCCGGTCTCTCCGTTGGTAGAAGGACGATCAAGACTCCACTGACCGACCGGTCCGTTCCTACTCGCATGCTGATGCGTCATCTTAATCCTTCAAGAAACTATCTTGATCCTTCGTTTCGCTTCTTCAGGCATCACATGTTGCTTTGGGGGGCGAAAGCGCCTGTTCCAAGTTCACATAAGAACTTGCACCGCCGATGCTGACCTGGATCTAGCTTAGTGATGGTGTTGTCTTCGTAACGCTGTCATGTCTTGTGGCGGCGTAGTCTTCCCAACAATACCGATGTCACTGTACTCGAATCTTGTAGCCGGACCGAATCGTTACAAGCAAAGATCTGCGATACTCCGTACGATGCAACACCTTACTACAGATCCATATGCCACAACAGACCCTCGGAAGTTCTACTTTCCAAGCGTCGGTCCCATTCCCGGGCACATTAGCAAACCTACCATACGCCAGTGCAGCCTCCACACCATCATGACTGCAATCCAAGTTGTCTCACATGGACTTGCATAAAGGCATTTGATGCTGATCTTCTTCATGTTCGACTGAGCTACGCCTCACGACATGTCTTATGAAGCTTCGCACAGCAATAACGACAAAGTCTATTGACGCCTAGGCAACAAATGCTGCAGCATCAACCCGTTTCCTGGAACGACTCAGGTAACCAGTAGGCGGTGTCAAGACCCGAGGGTGCTGTATTGGCATCAGCTAACCATCAACCTCTTATTCTCATCACTTGAACGTACCACATGCCCATCTGCCTAGAAGTGTGCTTCTTGCTACATTCGTCTTTGCACCATGGACTCACCCGGCAGAGCAAACACGCCGGCAGCGAGGAGCTTTAGTGATGAGCTAAGTGAGGGCTCGAGCTGGCACTCATCCAGTACATCGAGTGAGGATAGCATGTCTCCGGTCACACCATCTCTCCGTGAAAGATGGAGAGCCTGGAGAGTTTCGGTAGCCTGGCGCCGACTGCCACTACCGAGGTTAATGAATTCGACTCGTAGGAAAGGAAGGGGTAGATGGCCATGGTGGAAGTATTTCCTGATCGTTGTTGGAGTATTGTTGGTCTTCGGTATCATCGTAGGAGCGTGAGTGGTCCTATCCGCCTTCTTATGAATCTGACTGACTCGAATCAGTGTGTATATATACCTCATCACCGCCATCATCCATAAGTTTACTCCTCCACCAAACTACAGCGGTCTTCAACACATCGTCGAGAACTGGAGGGCACCGGATACCTACGGTGCCCATGAAGCTGTCTGGCGAGACGACTTCAGCCGCGACATCGTGCCCAAGAAGTGCCATTCACACAATGACTACTGGCGATCTGTACCGCTCTTTAGCGCACTTGCAGCCGGTTGTACAAGCGTGGAAGCAGACGTGTGGCTGGCG